ATATATATATATGTTATATAATTAATATTTGAACTTTATGGCTGTTTTTGGGATAGGTTGGTGCGTACGTCGTCATGTGCTTTGCGCGGATGACATGACGGTATATTGTGTAGTATTTGGATATCCATCGGCTGTTCCATGAGTGGAAGGTTTGCAATTTGATTTCTTGCAGGATCATTTCGACAATAGGTCGTGATTTATAACGCTACGCAAGCGACCATTGAACTTATGTATTCATGTATATTTGTATAATAGGAAGCGAAAGGGTGCGGTTCTGGGAGCCAGTCTATGCAAAATAAATCGCAGGTTTTATATCACGGATGTCCGCGATAATTCACTAGCGTGGCGGCTTGGCTTGGATCACGGAGATCGTATGGATGAGATAAACGATAAACCAATGAGCTCGCTAGGTCCTCTGGATGTATGTGAACAGAATCTCGGTGATTTCGTACTGGTTGCACGATATGTGTCATTTTCTTGCTGTTATTTAAATACAAGAATTTTTGAATCTACCCTGTACTTGATCTACCATATTCTAGTACGTGTATAGGAATAGATTGCCGGAAATATTACAGATAAAATATCATGTTGGCTAATTTTAGTAACTAATTATGTACTCTCCATATTCAAAACTCACAGTTCTTAGAGCTGTTTCGTAATGTAGAGGCTGTTGAGCTCTTGGTGTGTAGCCGACCATTAGAACTCAAAATTGTTCTCCAAGAGACACTGAGTCCGAAAGCGATCCACCGGGCCGATCACCCCGTACGATCGCAGAGCTTTGCGAATCCGCGGTCTACGCAGGTATTCTCTGGTAGCAATTCAATGGAGGGAGTATTTGCTCACGAACACCAACCGCGAAGGAAAGGTACATCAGTACCTCATCTAAGCTTCAGAGGTAGTGAATCTGACGTATGCGGTTCCTCCGTCGTTAGTAGAGAGGCCAGTGTACTGGCAAATAGAAACACAATTTGCAGAGAAGTTCATTCAAGAAGGTCCGAATCGACAACTAGCCATGAATGGCAAGGGCCCATTATGTCGGATCCCTTGAATATAAGCGATTTGCCTCCTGCGTACAACTCTCAAGAGAATGCGCACGCAAGATCAATCAGGCATGGCGGGAGTGTCGCTAAAGCTAGAAATAAGCACTACCGATTGCCCCGTAGAGGGACAGACGATTGCATTACATCCGGCTCCTACAGCAATGCACATGATGAGGATAGCTCAAGTACTCATCAGACTGTCCATAACGCTGTGAATAGTGAGGTGGTCACGAACGCTGATCAATACAACAATGCAGGAGTGGCCTCAAACGTTGGGTTTCGATTGAACAATGCAAACGACACGAGTGTGCATCCGATTCCGAACAGTGTGGAAGGCTTCGAACCTGCAGGAACAGCAGGAAGTCGAAATACGGGACATCCAGAAAGTTCAAGGATAGTAAATCAATGTTTTATTAAGGGTGGAAGGACACGTAGAAGTGATCAACAACCCCAATTGCCGACTCGGGTGCAGACTAGATCCAAGAGGCACCTGCAAATAGAACAACCAGCACATACACAACTGTGTTCTGGAGAAGACAGGATGATACACCCACGTGCAATGTCAGATCAGTTCACATATCAGGCATATCCCGGGGCAGATACCGAGTCTGCACAGGTACACTCTCATACACCAAACTCAATTTCATGGTGGCAAGGCTGTTTTAATTGGCTGGTTTGCAAGAGTGTTATTATGGAACCAATATCTGATGAAAGCGAGCCATTGCTGTCCGAATGTGCTCGAAGAGTGGATCGTAGTAATCCTGTGACAGGGACACATGTTTGTACGAATCAATGCGTGCTTTCGAGTTCACAGAGTGATGGTGAGGACGTAGTCGTCCATGTGCAGGAGAGGAGCGTAAACTCAGGAACACTGAAGTTTGAAGCGAGGAAATACCACGACGAGAACGCAGATTCATTCAACACACTCGATGAAGAAGAACAGGAAGTGAGTCCCTTCCCTCCACCATTACCTACTCCTCGATTGGGTCTTATATATATTAATGGGCAGGTGGTAGAAGTGGAGGAAGTATTGGCGAATGATTGTAAGGCAAGACCGTGTGCCCCACCCAGGACTGGGGATGTCATTCACGAAGTGGATGAGAAGGACATGCTGGGTAAAACCGATGCGCATATAATGTTGGAAATGTCTATTGCCATGATAAAGAACAAGAAAGTTGAGATCAGATTCTTTCCGCCGGTTTTAGCTCAAGAGATTGCGGTAGCACGACTGACTCGAAAGCGGTGAGCTGATGAAGGAGTTGTTGAGTCTGGATATTAAGCAACTGCTTCAAGGATCCTCGAGTATGACGTGCTGTAGCAGCGAGTTTTTAAATGAATACAGATCTGTCGATGTTTCTGCGCGGAAACTTACCCAGTATCGAAAGGCATGATTATGAGTGGTTAGTTTCGCCGAATACGTTCAATTATTACATCATTGGATATCCACGTGTTGCCAGTCTTGGGAGTTTTATAATGTCGCAATTCCATCATTGACAATCAATCACCTGTGAGACACTGTGCTATCTACTCAATGTCATTAGCTTCCCCTTCTTAAGTCAAGTGGGTGCATGGGTAGACATACTCTGGTGCCGAGATGAGATGGTTTAATCCCACGGCATCTATCAGTTCCATGGGTTCAATGGATATAATACAGCCTCGTTCAACATCGCTTGGAGAATGAATGAAAACGAAACCTCACTGACGTGTAAAAAGAATGCAATGCTCAATTGTAAATAGGGTTCGCTTTCCACGCTAAATCTTTCCGACGCTAGATGTAGCGAGTTTGTTTTGTGCACGTTCGGCGCAACGAAGTATTCCATTTTCGTTTATGAATCGAGATCTCATTTTATTCACCTCGGCCTTGTGCACGGAATAAAGTTGGCAGGTAGAAGAACACAGTGCTGAAGTGCGTCATTTGAGACAGAGTATATCGAATGAACATTGTTCGACCTCATTGATTAACGGAACTGGAAAACCGACCATACACGTAGGCCACCTGTAAATAGGTCGTACGTAGGTCAAGCTGCACTTTCCTCTATTAGTTTGCATACGGTGACCACAGCAAGGGCTGTCATGTTATTGATAGCCTCTGTTGGTGTATTATGCCGTGGTCTAGATATGTTCATGACCAATTTGTTCGTACCCGATTTGATATGCTAGATACATGTATCCGTAGCGCCATTAAATGTCACGGTGATCGTCCGCATCGACTTTTCCAATGACAGACTCAATAGTCGATGCACGACGAGAGGGTCGGCGCAGCTGAGTTTGCTGCTTCACCTTTACAGATGCGGTGGCTATCTTTATAAGCTCCTCCATTTTCTTCACCTGCAACAATTCATACAGTTGTCGTTTCGGTTAGAACATAGGGTTGGACGATGACCAGAACCAAGAAAAACGAAAGAAAGAGTATTTTGCAACGTCATACTAAACTAAATTGATCAACACGTTCGGATGAATGAATGTCTCGTAGGCTTTTTTTGTGTGTGCAAAATATTGGATGTTGTGTATGCCTTGAACAATTCTAACGTTTGATCAGACGGAAATATCTGTGAAATATCCGTACACTCAAATTGAAATAAAGGAAAAATCCCCCTGAAAATGAGGTTTACCTGTGGTATTAACTCAGAAACATCGGCCTCTGTAGCGATCTCTCCGATCCATTGTGGGACTGTAGGTAAGGGATATCAAACTATAAATAAATCACCGTGTAATTATAATCTCGAATGAGAGGAGGTTCCCGAACCCAATTCTTCTTGCATAGCACCAGGTACTAGAATGTCAATGCAGTGTGCGGTGCTTAAATATTGCAACAACAGGGCTTACCTTGACTGTCATAGCCTCTGACCTCATCGCCCGCTTTGACGAAATATGAGTGGCGGATCACTGATGGATCATTTTTGACCTCTGATGCATACAAATCGAGAGATGCAGTTAGCTAGATATACACAACTGTTCAGATAAAGAGAATCTATCGTGATAGTAGAGTAGAGAAAACTACATATGCAAATACATTATAGACAACATTCATGTTATTGTGCTATACACACCCGGTACGGTTCCGGAGGCATACTTCACAGATAGTGTACGATACACACATACCTTCAAAGAAATCAGCAGCCTCTAGAGTTCCGGTGACTGGACAGTTGAGATAATATACGTTTCGGACTTTTGTGATTCCTTCAGCGCGAGGTTTGGGATCGACTGGGATATTCAACGTAGTCAACTGTACGAAAGAGGAGTATTTTTTATTGGGCATCAAATTTGCTTCGAAATGTTGTGAAGACACAAGGTATAAGTTTGATTTTATCATATTCTGTTGGAATAGCAAGTGTTCTACATGTGTATACATACGATTACATTGTATGCAATATATATATATATATAACAACACTGCAGTGTCTACATAGTACACAGATGAGAGTTTATATACAGTGTAGTATAGTCGACGAGCACGACGTCAAGATCGCAATCAAATGGGCCAGATCATAATGTCACTAGACTGGTACTTAAGAGCATATGTAATATAATCAAACACTTACCATGTGGTTTTCATTGAGATTGACGCCGTTAAGTTCATTGTTGTATTCGCAGACCGGACCACCTCCAACACGAGGGTTGCACTCGATCAACATAGGACCTTCTGTTGTATATAAGGCTGTAATGTGGCAAAACGAGAGGGAATCCAAGATAAACAATCAAAGTAAGTATACTAGAAACATCAAGCAAAGAATACAAAATAGAAGCCTACCACACACCTTCCATGTGAAAGACTCCCTTGTAGAATCCTAGAGCTTTGACACACTGGGCACAGTAATCGATCAGCTCTTGTTGTTCTTTCTGAGGGATCATAGATGGGTACGTATTTCCATTCTCAAGGTAATACTGTAACAACCAAATCAAAATGGAAATAAAGGATTGGTTTGTGATCAAAGGTATCTGCATATCGCCTGAGAGCATCTAGCTCATACACCGATTTCTTTTGCAAGTTGAGTCGCTGGACAATTGCATCTACTTGTCACTAGTTGCGACATCAAACTAATCAACCAGAATGTTGCTAAAACACAGGCGTTCCTTTTGCCTTTTGCGTGATTACCGCCTAATAATCGAAAGGTAACAGAACTCACGAACCGTTCACAAAGATCAGACAGGCATTAACATTACTATAAAACGCAATAGGTCGTATAGCATGATAATATGCTCCTAGACCACACAAAGATCATCAATGATACTAACTGCCTACTATCAAACTGATCAGATAGACCATTATCTTTTTCAACAACTATAAGTGTGTCCTAAAATCTCATCCGATAGACTGTACGACAACCCCAGAGCGAAAAGCATATTCATCGCGTGCATACCGGAGGAACAGGCTTCCAATTGTCAGTGACAGATCCGTACTTCAATTCTCCGTCCCAGAAAATCAGATCGCAATCAAACTCTCCAACTGGTAGCCCGTCGAAGTCCTTTGCAATCAGCAGTTGCTCGACAACGATTGGGTCGGTAAGAGTTACGCCTAATTTGGATTGGGAATAACAATCCAAATTTAAAATCGCGCATACATGCGGCAATTTTTTTATTACAATAAAACACATTACATTGCAGGCACGATAGCTGCCTATCGATCGATTTACTGCAGCTAAAGTAGCAAACAATCTAACTAGAGCAATAATATTCGAGAGCACGAACTCACTCATGCCAAATAAAAACACAGATGCACGTGTACACTAGTACATCTCAAACAATAGTGCTGATAATCCGACATACCGACGTTAGAGCTCAAGAGGGCGTTTGTAGCCAAATCGAATAATACCCTCTCGATGCCACTTCTTAATTCGTCTTCATTAAAGGCTTTGTACACGCCAAGAGATCCAGCTCCAGATGTGGGTTTCAGAATCATTGGGAATCCAATCTGTTGGCGACAAACCGATATGAAAAACCTGAGTCAACTCTCTAACAATAGAAAAATCTATGAATCAGAAACGAAACGGCTTGACAGATTACGATGCATGCGACACTCAGAAAACTTACATAGTCGATGAGCTCTTGTACGTTATCCAAAGAGTTGCATCCCATCGCTTTTGGTGTGGGTACTCCAGCTTTTTCAAGCGCCTTACGCGTCTCGTATTTATCACGAGCCGCCTGGTAGGCCTGATAGAATTGACAAAAAATATACAGAAGTTTATGTCAGACTAACAAGGAGGTTCATCGATTCCATACAGTATCAGAAATCGTGCCCGATGAACCAAGTGAGAGGATTAATCGAACCTAAACAAATCTGCCAAGATTGTTCAACTAGATTGAAACTGAACGGAAATACAAAAAGTATAAACTCGTATGCTGATGTACGTCGATTTTTTTGTTATCTCTAGAACACTTTCTTGTATATAAGCAAACGGACAATGTACGATAACCACTAGTACGGAAACTGTACAAAATTTCGTGAATATAATGAGGCAGAGAAAATTGCGGATATAAACCTTCAATGGATTGTGCTTGATGTCTAGCGATTCGGCCACCTCGTCAATGAGAGATTGTAGGTGTTCGAAGTCTTACCTTGAAAGAATTGTGCTTGATGCCTAGCAGTTCAGCGACCTCACCAATAAGGGGTTGGACTAATTCGAAATGACTAAAAACTGCATCATAGATTATTCCTGTTTGTTTACAAGCTGCCGCGATTTTTTCTCCCGCATCCGACTCGTACATATCTGTTAAGATTGGAATAAGGAGATACTTCATAAATTATTTCTAAATTACTACTTGTGGAAAAGCGGAATCAAGGATTGCAACAACAAAGCGTGCATAATGAAGGATAACGCACATATAGCGAATACCATCATACCTGGGACAACTATTTTTGCGTTGACAAGTTCATTTTCCACGTACTGGTTGTAAACCTGTGTCAAATAGAAAAATAAAAAAAATAGATTTTTATAAACTTATTTATGACAAAAGAAATACATTGCTTACTACTGTGTTCGCGAACCTTTAAATACTTACGGGGTCATCATCTGCGTTGGGAGTGACTAGAGTCACACGACATCCTCCGTCGAGAAAAAAACCATTGTACAGTTTGATATTTGCTACTCCTGCTCCGGCAAGACCTGTGATGGTGAAAACAAACCGATTTTGTTTAATCGGCACATACAAAATACAATGGATAGCTACTCGACCATTGAAAAGCATATAAATATAGCCGTGAAGCTGCAGGTTTTACATACTGAAATTTACAACAACTATACGAAGAAATATAAAATTTATTACACCTTCGTCAGGGTTCTGTTATGCAACACTGATGCATGTACATACAACAGGACAGTTGTGTTGTGAGCAGACCTAAACCAAGAAGTCATGTGCGACGAATTTTCTACACGTTACTAGTTTACTCATGTTGCAGATATAATAGTCAACTAGATCCATACAACAATAAACAAACACCTGGAGTACCTTCGGATGGGTATAAAGCGTACATATTATAAACAGACAGGAATATTATAGAGACATACTTTCCACTCTATGGAGCCATGAGTCCTTAACGAATGAGAATGTGCAGATATGACATAGATGTTTGCACACCATATACTTGGTGATAAGCAAGACTGATCATGAGAATAATCCTTTTGATACTGCAAACTGATCACACACACACACATATATATATACATACATACATACATATAAATATATGTATGTATGTATGAATAAATAAATAAATATATAAATATATATAAATATATATCTATATATTCATCTTCCATTTATATACATACGTATATATATATATATATATAAATATGCTTTCATGTTTAAGTATATAAATATATAACCCTTGAAAATGTATGTATGTTTGTTTACAAGTATATATGTGCGAAAGTATCCAGAAACCGAGCATACATTACAGTTGTCTTTCTGCTAGAATAGGCAGTTCAATAAGAAATGATTGCAGGCTATATTTGAAATGAATATCATTACGTAAAGATGTGATTATACAAACGTTTGCACATCTATTTTACTCAAACACACAAGGACATAAATTCAAACGGACGATGTTGCTATATACAGATCGTTAGATCACAAGTAGACTACAATTCGTACGAAATTTGGCCTTTAAACCACATCTATGACCAAATCAGATACGGTTGCATCTTGGAAGCATATTTTTGGCCTCCGCATCGTGTAAATCTCTCCACATATGCTTCAAAATGATTAATACGAATATCGGATCAGGAACGATCGCACTAACTAGTGATCTCAAATGCTCGTACAAGAGTAAGTTATCGAGTATTGAAGTCTTACGACATACCCATAGGGTTCCATTTGCTGTGAGAAAGTACTAAGACTTCCTTGCCCTTCATCTGAGCGGCTTGTTCTTTAGTCGGTGCCATATTTCCGTTACGTAAAGTGGGATACAAAATGTGACGCTAAATATATTACCAGTACTGTTGGCGAGTCGCTCATCAAGTGATATTTATATACACCTCTTTATATTCAGTGTGGTGTTGCAGTTTGCACTTTGCTTTTCTTCTTGCTTTTCATATGGGCCACATACTCACACGGGGTATGTAGTCAGGAATCGTAATGGACGACTCGACGATTTACCATTGGTGGTTACTTTGGAATACCAAATTTCCATATTTGGCGTAGTCGCATTATTTAATATTTTGACTCTTTGAGTAATTGAGTCGAAATCCAAATCTGTAGAAATCTGTCTGTATCCAATCGAAAAGCTTGCACATAAATTAGCTATCTTGATATAAAGTTGACAATTAAGTGCCATGTCACTCCCACGTGAGCCTTGGCATTTTCTCTAGTCTCGGGGAGTACATATGGTCATTTAGTCCGAGTATTTATGTACATATTTATGTACGTACACACATAATCCATCGAGACAGTGCTACTAGTCACTCTCTAGAGAGAGATTAGAGAGTTGAAGACCGTCGCGGCGTCGCATGTGGAAAGTGAAATTTCCTGTCTTCGCAAATGTGAGTGAGTATGGTGAGTTCGTTCTTATTTTTAGGTTTAAAATATGGGTACTGAAATAGATACATAGAGAGAGTAGTCGTTAGAGTCTGAGTATAATTGTACACTATTTATCGACACAGTGTCGGCTCCGCGTATGTATAATTTTACTATATAGAGAGTTATAGACCGTCGTGGCGTGGCTGTCTTCTCATACATATGATGGTCAGTTTAAGAAGTTCGCCATTTTTAAGGTTTTTAGTGAATACTGAAAGAAAGAAATATCTACTATATTCAACACGGAGGACT